CTAGTAGATATTCAGTAAATACAGCTGGTGACAGAGTTTGATTACTTTTCCTTAAGGGGAAAAAGGTGATTAAATTTCCTTCATTATTCTCATCTACAAATACACAACGAAGAGAAGTGCAGGAGTGAGAGGTGTGGAATCTAGAACATAAAATTCTAGACTTACCAAATTCCTTGGTAAGTCTGATTAACATTGTCATTGGAATGGAAGATTTTCCAACCATAACCTAGTTTTTGATGCACTGTCTTGTGACATAACTTGATCTGCACAGTAACTGCACAGGTGTAATACTATGTATTAACTATGTATATATGTTGTGACTCTTTGCAGCAGCCTCAAAACCTTGTATTTGGAAGATGGTATTTCCCTCACTTTTCCCATGTGCTGTTCCTACTGGGAAGAAATGTTCTTGGAAATGTTCTTAACTGAACAAGAGATCCACATTGCCAAAGGTCACAAACACAAATCAAAGTCACCAATCCCTTTCTGTTATAGGCACTCCCCAGTGTACACTGTAAGAGTCATCAAAATTGGGTTTATCATTGGGCATGATGGCTCAGACCTGTAATCCTAGCAATCTGGGAGGCCAAGGCGGATAAATTGCTTAAGCTGACAAGTTCTAGACCAGCCTGAGCAAAAAGTGAGACCCCATCTCTAAATACTAGCTGGGCATTGTAGCAAGTGCCTGTACTTCCAGCTACTTGGGAGGCTGAGGCAAGAGAATCACTTTGTGCCCAAGAGTCTGAGGTTGCTGTGAGCTGTAACACCACAGCACTCTACCTAGGGCGACAAAGTTAGCCTCTGTCTCAAAAGAAAAAAATGGCTTATTATTCTAGTCCATTCCTTCAGAAAGCAGGGACGCATGGAACCCTCAAATTGATGGTTTTTTGTTGGGAGAGGGGGAGATTGGGGGTGGGGTGTGTAGTTAAAAATGTGGCCAGATGCCGGGCGTGGTGGCTCACGCCTGTAATCCTAGCACTCTGGGAGACCGAGGCAGGTGATTGCCTGAGCTAACGAGTTCGAGACCAGCCTGAGCCAGAAAGACCTCATCTCTAAAAATAGCCAGGCATTGTGGCTGGCGTCTGTAGTCCAGTCCCAGCTACATGGGAGGCCAAGGCAAGAGAATTGCTTAAGCCCAAGAGTTTGAGGTTGCTGTAAGCTGTGATGCCACACCACTCTACCGAGAGCAACAAAGTAAGACTCTGTCTCAAAAAAAAAAAAAATGTGGCCAGGAGCAACTTAGCTCTATAAAAAGGTCTGATACATTCAGCACCAGACCCGGCTGGCTGCTCCCAACATGAACCTCCCGTTCTTGTGCCTGAGACTTTTAAATGTTTCCTTTTCTTTCTTCCTTCAAAGCAGCCTTTAATATTCACGTTAACCACATTCACTTGTTCAGTACTCTTGAGTTAAGAGGTAGGGGCTCTGAGTGGCAACAGACAGGGTAAAGTTCACTGACACCAAATTGCTCAGTCCCTCTCTTAGGATAGTTCCTCCACTACCCTGCAGAGGGCAGCAAGACCCCAGAGACCATTAGGCTGGGTCACGCCCTGTCCCTGGCGCACCCTCTGTCCAGTACCACAGGCCCACCTCAGGAGCCCCGGCCTGGCGTCCAATCAACATCAGCCCTGGCTAGAAGTCCGTCCGTTTGCTGCACCGGCTGCACTAAGGTGTGACTCAGGGGCCTTCAAAGGGTAACAAAGCCAACCAGTCGCAGTTTTGTCACACCAAGCAGCTGGCGACAGAAGAGCTTCACCATAACCCCACAAACCCGGCCGTGCCGCCGGAAACGGTCTGCGCACGCGCGGCCCCGCCCACTCGGGGAGGCCTGCCCCAGATCCCTGGACACGCGCGGTCCCTCCTGGGAGAAGGCGCCCGTGCCAGGCCGGAGCTGTAGGGTCTGAACATCCCCTCGCTGCCCGGCTCCTGCCCCAACTCGATCGCGAGCCCACCTACCGTCCGCTGCCGCTAGGGCTCCCTCCTTCCTCGCGGCAGATAAGCCCGCCGGCGCAAATCGAAAGGCCAAGAGTAGGGCCAGATTACCCCCCAACATGGGAGGCGGGTCTTGGGGCATGGGGCGGAGCGCAGGCCCGGCATGGGCGGGGCTTCTGGGCCCAGCTAGTGAATTAGCGGCGCCCTGAGCCAAGGGTCACAGGGTCCCGCCCGTATCATTCTGGCGGAATAGGAACATCACCCGAAAGAGGTGTAGGAGAGGGAAGCCCAGGTTTGAGTTTGTCAAACTCGTTACTTCTGTTCTCTTCCCTCCTCTATATGTCCGGTTTTGTTTTGTTTTATTTTAATGTCCTCACAAGCACTGTAGCCCCCCCCTCCTTTTTTTGAGACAGAATCTCACTATGTCGCCCTAGGTAGAGTGCTATGGCGTCACAGCTCACCGCAACCTCAAACTCTTGGGCTTAAGTGATTCTCTTACCTCAGCCTCCCAAGTAGGTGGGACTATATGCGCCTGCTACAATGTCCGGCTATTTTTTGTTACAGTTGTCGTTGTTTAGCATGCCCCAGCTGGGTTCCAACCCTCCAGCCCCGATGTATGTGGCTGGTGACGTATGTGGCTGGCACAGTAACCACTGTGCATGGGTGCCGAGCCTATAATTACATAGGCTTTTTTAAAACTGTAAATGTGGGCTAGGCGCAGTGCTTACACCTGTAATCCCAGCACTTGGGAAGTCTAGTGGATTGCCTGAGCTCATAGGTTCGGCACCAGCCTGAGCCAGAGTGAGACCCCTGTCTCTAAAAAATAGCCGGCGTTGTGGCAGGTGCCTGTAGTCCCAACTACTTGGGAGGCTGAGGCAAGAGGAACATTTGAACCCAAGAGTTTGAAGTTGCTATGAGCTCTGACACCACAGCAATCTACTAAAAAAACAAAACAAAACAAAACTATAAATACCTCAAAAAGGCAGGGACCTATCTTATCCATATCTGTAGTTCCAGGATCTTGCACGTGGGAAGGGCTCAATAAGTACTTGTTAAGTGAATGAATGCTGGGGTTCAAATGGCATTGAGTAGTTCACAGGCAAAAATCTCATTCATTTATTCATGGCCCACTAAACCATATCCTCTGCTCTGAAACAGGCCAAATTAAGAGAAGGAAAGGCAACGCACCCAGTTGGGGAAATGGGCATTCTATGTGGACTCATGTTAGACACACACACACACACACACACACCCTCTCCCTAAAAGAAAGTAGAGCCTGGGAGGTAACTCTCTAGCAAGCTAGAAATTAGATTAAACTAACCAGAGCAGAAAGAGGAGTCCTGGTAATTATTGGGACCTAAGCCCTTCTCTGCTTGATTCAGGGCATGGTTCCCCAGAGCCAGGCAGCAAATCTGACATCTCTCCTGGCTCAGAGGACCCTCCTTCCTCATCCACATGGTCTTCAGGCAGTGGGCAGAGGCAACGGAGAAGCTGGGGAATGCAGGGACACAAGTTTTGGATAGGGAAAGGAAGCTCGTACTCTTGAGCAGTGTTCTCCCTGGACTTTTGCAGCATCTGAGCCTCTTGGGCAGTGAAAGATGATGGCAGCCTTTGACCCAGGCCTCGCTCAAGCTGTGTGCCTGCAAAAGAGAGGTTGATCAGGCCACTGCCCAACCCAGGGAGTGTGACTTCCAGACCTCTCACCAGTTTGCTAAAGCTTGACCTCAACTTACCAGGAATGGTGTTCTCTAGGAGGAAGCCCAAAAGTCCAGCCAGGAAGATGGGTTCTGTCAGCAGCGAGTGCAGTAACACATCCAAGGGGCTCCAGCCTACAAAGGGTTGGGGCCAGGCAGGGAAGGGAACTCATCCTATATCTAAGGCCAAGGAAGCTTATCCTTCCAGACCTAAACCTATGTCTTAGACTAGGTGTTCTCCTGTACTCTCTCCTGGGTTTCTTAACTTCCATACTACTGACATTTTAGAGCTGATAATTCTTTGTTTAGGGCAGTCTGTGCATTATAGGATGTTTAGTGGCATCTGTATGTACTAAACACTAGTAACAATCACCCGTTTTCCCAATGGTAACAGCAAAAAATGTCTGCAGACATTGTCAAATGTCCCAGGTGGGGCAAAATCACCCCCAGTTGAGAACCACTACTCTAAACAAACAAAGCTATTTGCTGCTCTCAGGACATATCTTATGGCTTCCTATTCTATGTCTTTGTTTATGATGGTTCCTCCATCAGGAGCCTTTTCACCAAATACTTTTAAAACTTTAAGACCACCCACATGTTACTGGATTACCTCAAACAGAAGCCATCTCTCTTGCCACTGAGCACCACAGCTCTTTATTTGAACCTTTCTTATTATTTTCCTGCACATCCCACCTCTTTTACTAGACTGTAACTCCTAGAGGCACCTTTATATCCCAGGTGGTTAGCATGATCCTCAGTAAATATTTGTCAAGCAAATGGATGAACTACTTACACCAAAGCTCAGAAAATGGTGTAGGTCCAGACGTCCAGAGAGCCTGAAGCCCCAGCCCCTTGCTTTCCCACTGCTGAGCAACTCTTCTTCCCCTCCCCATTCTACCCACCTGTGCTGAGTAGGACTGGGGCATCCCGAAACCATCTTGGTAGCAGCAGGGCCATGAAGATGGAGAAGCCCACAATGAAGACATTCCGCCCAGAGTCAATGTCAGCCAAGTGGAAGCTGGAGAATCCAGTGGACAGAACCACAGCCTGGGTCACCCCCAATACCCCACCTGTCTCAGAAGAAATCAAGGAGGTTTGGAGAGGGCATGTGCAGCACAGGGCATTGCAGGATGGGCAGGTTGTGATGGGGAGAGAGAACCAAAAAGCTAATTTCTGATTCTGCAAGAAGCCCAGGTGGCCAGTCAAGAGGCCAACATGCTGAACTGAGAAATTGAGGGCAGCTGACCCATCCATCCAGGGAGGCTATTTAAAAATAAAGGGTGGGCCGGTAAGGTGGCTCATTCCTGTAATCCCAACACTCTGGGAGGCTGAGGCAGGTGGATTGCCTGAGCTCATGGGTTTGAGACCAGCCTGAGCGAGAGCAAGACCCTATCTCTAAAAATAGCTGGGCGTTGTGCTGGGTGCCTGTAGTCCCAGCTACTTGGGAGGCTGAGGCAAGAGAATTGCTTAAGCCCAAGAGTTTGACGTTGCTGTAAGCTATGATGCCACATCACTCTACCAAGGGAGACACAGTGAGACTCTATATCTAAAATAAAATAATAGGCTCGGCGCCATAGCATAGTGGTTACAGCACCAGCCACATACACCAAGGGTGGAAGGTTCAAACTCGGTCCACGCCAGCTAAACAACAAGGTGACTACAATAAAAAAATAACTGGGCAGTGTGGCAGGCACCTGTAGTCCCAGCTACTTGGGAGGCTGAGGCAAGAGAATCGCTTTAGCCCAAGAGTTGGAGTTTGTTGTGAGCTGTGGTGCCACAGCACTCTACCGAGGGCAACAAAGTGAGACTCTGTCTCAAAATAAAATGATAAAATAAAATAAAATATAAATTAAAATAAAATAGTGCCAATCTGCACAGCTTGTTGGGCTACACTAGGCAGCACTAGTTCAATACCAAGCCTCTTGTTACATCCACTCACCAAGCACAGGTAGCGGGATGGTGGTGAGGAGCTGAGCCAGTCTGGGAGAGAGCCCAAGTCCCACACAGAGCAACCCCACTAAGTGGGCCACTCGCCGAGATCCAGCCTATGTGAAGAAGAGACACTAGAAACAACCACTTCCTTGGACTGTTTCCAGGTCTTTGCCTGGCCAGCTCCTTTTCAGTATTTAGATACCAACTCAAGTGTCCCCCTCCCAAGAAACATTACTGGCCACTTGATCTAAATGTGCCTCCTTACTCACTAGCCTGATTTTTCTTAATAGCACTTATCACTCTGAAATTTTCTTTACTTTCCCTTTAATTGTCTGCCTCTTCCTCTGTGAAGTCCCCAAGAAAGCTGGACTTTATGAGACTTGTTCTGTAGTCCAGCCTAATGTAATGCCTGACGAAAGTACTGATTTGTTCATATCCCCACACACTTACCACTTCTAGGTATGTCCCTTAGATAATTGATGTGAAGTTTCTGACCAGAGTTCTGGGCACAGCTGGTGATCAATCAGCATGAGTTTATTCTCCTGCACCCCTAGCTCCTGCCCTCCACCCTCACCCCAGGTCCACCTACCTGGATAAGACTCACTGTGGCCACATTGGGAAAGCTGGATGCAGTGCCCATGGGGCTGCCCAGCAGCCCGGCCAGCACACTGCCCAGCCCCTCCAGGCTCAGCCCTCGACTGCAGGCATGTGGTGGAGGAGGAGGTAAGTGCAACAGCTGGCCACACAGGGCATAGCAGCCCAGAGAGCTGGTGGAAGCTGCCAAGGCCATGGAGATGCCTGCAGCCAGAGCCCTGGGTGTCAGTAAGGGCCAGACCCACTCACCTGTGGAGGGAGAAGGCACCAGATTGGGACCAGACTCAAGTCAGGAGCATCCTCCTGCCTCTAATAGCCTGTGCCACATGATTGCCACAATGTGTTTGAAGATAATGTCTTAGAAGAAAACCACTGAATTCTTTGCAGAAAAATTAATCACTTTCCCATGGTCTACAGGGTCTTCTGACCCTTCCCTTTCTTTCCAACTTCATATCCTACCACACTCTACTTCACTTCTTTCACCAAGACACACTGGCCTTGTTTTAGGCCCTTGCACTTGCTGTGCTCTTGACCACCACAGGGCCTTTGCATATGTTATTCTCTCTACCCAGAATGTTCTTCTGTCCTGCCTTTGTCCAATTAGTTCCTACTTATCTTTCACATCTCCTCTCAATAATCACTTCCTAAAAAATGCCTTTCCCAACCTCCCTGCTAAAGTCGCATTCCCTATTATAAGCTCTCCTCACACAATGTATCTCCCCTTGTTTACACTTACCATAATGGTAATTTTTTTTTTTTTTTTGAGACAGAGTCTCACTTTGTCACTCTCAGTAGAGTAGCTCACAGCTCAAACTCTTGGGCTCAAGCGATCCTCTTGCCTCAGCCTCCTGAGTAAGTAGGACTACAGGCACCCACAAAACACTCGGCTATTTTTTTTAGAGACAAGGTGTCACTCTGGCCCAGGCTGGTCTCAAACCTGTAATCTCAGGAAGTCCACCTGCCTCAGCCTCCCAGAGTGCCAGGATTATAGGCATGAGCCACCACACCTACCCCCATGATGGCAGTTTTACATTTACTTGGGTGACTATTCAATTAGCATCTGTATTCCCCAATAGACTGTAAACTCCATAAAGGCAGGTACTGTGTTATGTTTATAACTACATTCCTTGCTACATGCCTAGCACATAATCATCACTCAACAGAGCCTTATTAAATTGGTGAATGAGCAAATTTCACATACAGTGCCTCAAAAACAATCTTTCTCCATAGGTTACCAACTCAATGCCCATGGGTAGGGTAACATAAGTGTGTAAGTTGGGTTAGGAGTAGCAGTAGTGAGTGGTGGGTATGTATTAATTATAGATGTCTGTCTCTCAACACTGTCCCTAATAAAACACCTGTGGTAAGGAGCTGGAATTGCCCATCAGATTGGCAGTTTCTCTTTGCGTGTTTTAAGAAAACACAGAATTTGACTCAGGAATGAAACCCTTTAAATCTTGAGTTCAAAAGAAATAGAGTTCAAAATAAATAAATCTTTATTTGAGTAAGAGGGTAGACTACCTGGGTAAGTAAGAGAAAACCTACCTGGGTGAGGCAGCCAAAACCATGGTGCCTTGGATGGGGCAGACAGCTCCAAGGGTATAACAGTGAGACCCAGAAGGGCAGAGGCAATCCACACACAGGCCACAGGGATCAGCACCTGAGGGGCAAGACTGAGTCAGGGGAACAGCTCCTCCCCCAGAACCTTCTGAACCAGCCTCAGAGAGCCAGAGGCCAAAAGGTAGGGGGCGAGCGAGCATTCCATGACAGCCCTTCTTAACCTCCACTGCCCTTGCCCAGACTCCTACATACCGAGAGTAGCCGGAGGGTAGGAAGGTGAGTGTGAGTTGAAGAGGTCAAAGCTGGCCTCCAGGGGCACCGGGGTAAGTGGCAGGAGCCCAGGTGCTGAGAACAGACCACCATGAGCAGGATAACCCTAGGAGAGAGAAAGAGCTTTAGGAGCAGACACCCTAAGAGTGGTATTGGAGGTAGGAATGGGCAGAATACCATAAAAGGGGATCCCAGAGAAGAAACCCTCCATAGATGGGGTGGAAGATTCCTTGGGGAATAGCAGAAGCAGTGTGAAAGTCAAGACCAGATGAATTAAGGAAAAGTCTTGGTTACCAAATATAAAGTGTGATCCCTCTTTAGGTTGCTGCTGACTCTGATAGGGCCAGTAGCTCTGCCCTCCCCTAGTCCCACACTCTACCTGGCACTGTCCCATGCCTCTGAGGACTCACGTACATCAGGGCCAGGACCCAGTGAGTGGAGCAAAACTGGGCCACCTCCCTGTAGGCAGACACCCCTGCCACAACAAGGCTGGGGGCCAGCACCAGGGGCCCACAGTGGGGAAACAAACAGCCTGGACTTCCCAGCAGCCCCAGTGCACCCTGCAGCAGCCCAGACACCACCACTGCTCCGGACACCTGGGAGAGGAGGGGATGGAGAGAAAATATTCTGTTCAATCAAGCTGACCTCAGCCTGGACTTCCTAACTAATTAGGTACAGATCCCTTCCCAGACTCCTTACCCAAAGCATCTTGGTCCCTGCTTAATAAAAACAAGAACCTCCCCAGGCCTGGCCACTCTTAGCCCTCCTGCTTCCTATCCCCATGTGCTCACCTCTTGGAGAGAAGTGTTCCAGAACTCCAGGCCATGGCAGCCAGGCCCCCGACATAGGTGCAGCAAGAGGGAGGCTGGGGGAAGTTCAGGGCATGGAGAAGAAAAAAATAAAGGGGATAGAGACCCATTGCTCTATAGTACCATCACTGCCCAATCCCAATCCTCTGCCCACCTACACCTGTATGGTCAGATGAGCACCCAACCCTACCTTTACCCCTTGCCCTTGTTCTGTGCTCACAGTTTGCAGGTGTCTCTATGGCCAGAGGTAGCTTTTGGCTGTTCAACACAAGAGCAGGAATAAGGAACTCTAAGGATGGAGCCTGGACAAGAGGCAACCTGTAGGAAAAGCAGCCCCAGCAGGTCTGGAAACATGGCAGCCAATAGGACTCCCCCACCCCTCTCCCCATAGCAGTTCCCCTCACCTGCTGCCCATCCAAGTTTGCAAGACAGTAGACACACCACATGAGAAGAAGCTGGAAGCCAGAAGCTGAGAAGGGGAGTAAGAGAGTCCTCCTGGGGTGAGACTGCGAAGCAGGAGCAGATGGGAGGCACAAAGCAGACATGCCAGGACCAAGATATGCTGCAGGTGGAGGAACAAGGAGAGGGAGTCTTCAGAAAGAGGTGGAAATACCTATTTTTAGAGGTCTTCTCATGCCACACCTCCTCCCCCAAATGCCCTCTTCAGCTGACACCAACTCCTGCACCTGTGCCTCCTACCTGCAAAGCCAGAAGACAGCTAAGGCCCCAGGGTAGAGGCCCACAAAGAGACACCCAAGAGTAGGAGGTACTCCGAGGAGCAGGCAGCGGCAGGGGAGTCAGAACATCCCGGGAGCCCACCGATCTGACTTGCATGGGATGGGGGAGTGATCGGCTCATGCTGCCCTGCCTTTTGTCTTGTCTTGATTGCTCTGGGCCAGAGTTAAGTAGAAAGAGTAAGAGGTCAGAGTTTGGGTGAAATTAGGGAGGGGGTGGAAAGGCATGGGGGTGTCAATGAAGCAGAGCAAAGGGATGAGGAATTTGGGGCAGAACGCAGCTCTTTCACCTTTGCCCAGCTCTTGTGCAAATTCCATCACCCATTAACTGGAAAACCAAGTTCTGGACCCCTCCCCCAAGAATCTTCATCCAGATTTCCTGCTTCTAGACCAGTTCTGGAAAGCAGGATAGGAAGGGTGGGAAGGAGACCCATTAAAATAACCTGGGGAAAATTTGCAGGCTTTCCCTCTCTCCCACCACCAACATTCAACTATTGCTATTAGATCCAGAGTTCTTAACCCTTTTAGACCAAGCCCCCTTGAACTACATGACAACAGCCACAACACCATATAATGTCCTCACTGTAATGTAGAAACAAAAGTAATTTACAATAACATGTATTTTATTAAATGAAAGCTTTGCACAGTTAAACAGAAGATAATGAAGTAGTCCAATCTCCACATCCATATGCAGAATCACTGTGGATACAACAGCTACAATGCTAGCTGATGCAAGTGCTTTATGGTCATCACAAGCAGTGTTGACACTGGTAATCTGATTTTCCAAAATGGAGGAAAAATTCTTGGTAAAGTGCTGAGCAAAATGAATTTGTTCTAATTTACATGGAAACCCATTCCTGGCAAGCTGAGTCTTTTTCCAAAATGTACAAAAATTACTTGATTTTTACATGTTAAAACTACTCCTAGGCTTAAAAAGAATTTTCATATACATGATCACCAGCCAGTCATTCAAACATTGTCTTGGAAATTCTTCATGGTAAGGGAGGTCCTAGCATTTTAGGGTGTCTTAGCATTCCGCCTAGGCCAACTAAAATACCAATGGCATCCCCTCAAAACATAAATTTCCAAAATGCCCCCTAGAGGGCGATACGACCCCCTCCTGTGAGTGATCTTCGGCAGTTCCCTGGACCCTCAACTGTGCTGCCCAGACTGTTCTTATTTTTCCAGTAATGATCCAGGCTTGGAGTTCTTAACAGTTCTTGAAGTTGTTAAACAGACATCATGTGACTACCACGTGTGAGGCTAGTGAGGCGGTCAGGAATAGAAAGAAGCATCCTTGTGGCTTCCTCTCAGGGACCTCATGGGCCACTGCTGGATATACAGCTGGGCTACTCCCTGCAAGGCCTACTTCAGGATCCCCAAAGAAGGTGCTCACCTAGAACATGACAAATAGTACCAACCCTAGGCACAAGACAATCACTGTTTATGTCCCACAGCACCTCAAGTTAAGCAGCACTAGGGACCCATGATGTTGGGAGCAGGGATGAGGGGAAGTTGGAAATGGGCGCGTATGACAATAGGGAATGTCTGAAATGGGAGTTAGAGAAAATGATTTGCAAGATGACAGGATCAGGAAGTATGGAGGCTTGGAAGGCAGATATAGGAAGAAAAGATCTTTAAGGGCTGTCGCAGAATAAAAAGTCCAGGCCATGCAACTGAACCTTTTATTGAAACCTCAGTTCTACAAAAGCATGAAAAACCCAGATACAAAGCCAAGGCCAGAGGGGCCTGGGAATAGATCACCCAGGACAGGAACCAGAAGAGAGGGAACCTAGGAGCAGGGCACTAAGAAGAAAAGGTTGGAAGACAAAAGGTCAAGGTTGAAGGCCCCAGTAGTCCTTGGTTCCGTGTGACTACATCTAAGGGATGGGAACAGAGAGAGTTTCCCATCTCACCTGGCCTTCCCTCAGTAACTCCCACCATGACCCTGTCAGTCCCTGGTTTTCTTACCCCAGGGACATCACACAGGTCATGTCAATATTTTCTTCCTCCCCTTACCTCACTTCCTGCATCTCCCATCTGAACTCAAAAACAAAAGTCTAGAAGAGCCCAAGAGAGGCAAAGAGATGGGCTTCTCCTATGTCCATCATAACATATACCTGGTCACTGAGCATAAGTTTTCCCTGGCACCATCACAGCCCTGGGCAAGCAGCCAGCCACTAAGGTCTAGGAGAGTGAATGACCTTCAGTCCTTCTGCCCCACCACCCCTTAAGCTCCTACCCAGAAGGACAGGGGACCCTCCAAGGACCCAGAGAGGTAGAGGATCTAAACCAAGCTTTGCTCCTCCAGGTTCTCAGGGACTCCCAAATCCTCTTAATGCATTCCTCAGAGCCCTACCTAGCCTGGGAAAATGAAAGACTTGAGGCGTGCCAGCTCCATGACACTGAAAAGGGAACATTGCTGGGGCTGGGGTAGAGGTGGGAGCACTGGGCTCCAGGGCCAGGGTGGAGTCAGGCCATGGGTGTGGTACCAGGGACTGGGAGGCCCAGTGGGGACAGTATGATTGGGGTGGTGGCAGGCACGGCAGGTTGGGGAATCTCTCTGGAGCTTCTGACAAAGGGGACAGTTATGGAGAAGAGTAGGCGGAGCAGGGGGTTCTGGGGGAGGCAAGGGAGGGGGAGTCAGTGAGGCCAGAAGACTGCCCCAGAGTGAACGCAGCCCTATATTGCCTTCTGGGCAGCTGGAGACGTTAGCAGGAAACAGCAGGCACTGTGGTACAGAAGGTACGCAGGGTTTCAAGAGGCACCAGGAAGTCAGTCCAAGGTCAGGGGGACCAGGTGGAGGGCTGCACGACAGCCCCAAGGACTGGTGTATTACAGCCACTGATGCCACAGCCAAGGTCACACTGCTCACATATGCCACAGCTAACAGGCAAGACAGCTGCAGGAGAGGAGATAAGAAAGAAACAGGATTCAGACTGTCCTTAACACACTAACCCCTTATCTCAGACTTGTGTTCAAGTTGGAACTCTCCATAGACATTTACAGCCCAATCCACCCATCTATTCCCAAATGCCATGTACTGTCAAACCCCATCTCCTGAGTCTTTCAGCAATTGCTTAACATCAACTCACCTTTCATACCAGCTCACGAAAGCTACCTATCCTTCCTAGCCCTTCCTCACCTTTACCAACCGCTGACAGAGGGAGCCCAGGGCCAGCTGCCAGGTTGGTTGCTCCAGCAGCACACACAGGTCTGTGTAGGTGTACCAGCCCCGCCGCCGTCCCTGCTGCTCAGCCACACTGGTGGAAAAAGAACAGTAACAGAGAGAGTCATAGATCTCCTGCAGCCAGGCCAGTGACACGCTCATACTCCTCAGGGCCCACCAGAAAGCACTGGGGAGCTTGTTAAACATACAGATTCCTAGGCTACATGATGGTCCAGAAAATGAGAGAAAGACTAAGAGATGCATTTTCAATAAGCAACTCCCACCTTCCCAAAGGTTATTATGAAGAAGATAGATAGGTTTGAGAATCACTACTTGATTATCCTTTTTTATCTTTTTTTTGAGACAGTCTCACTCTGTTGCTCAGGCTAGAGTGCCATGGCATCAGCCTTGCTCACAGCAACCTCAAACTCCTGGGGGGTTCAATCAATCCTTCTCCCTCAGCCTCCTACACAGCTAGGACAGGTACCCACCACAAAGTCCAGCTAATTTTTCTATTTTTAGTATACACAGAGTCTTGCTCTTGCTCAGGCTGGTCTTGAACCCATGAGCTCAAGCGATTCTCTCACCTCTGCTTCCCACAGTGCTAGAATAACAGGTGTAAGCCACTACATCCAACCTATCTTTCTTGTCTCCTCCTTCCCCCATTATATCACACCCCCCTCACCTCCTACAGCTCAGGCCTTAGTCCTCAAATCCCTTGAGGTCCTCTTCCCAACTCCTAGAACCTACCAGCTCTCTAGCCAGCTGAGCACCTCAAAGATCTCCCGAGGGTCAGTGTAGAGACGCCAATCCTATGGGTAAGAAGAGAGAAGGATGCCAAACTAGAACTCAGATATGAACCACAGTCATTTTACAGCAGAAAACTACAACCACCACTAAGGCTAATGCTTATTTGGCACTAACATGTGCTGGATACTGTCCCAAGAGCTCAGATATGAACTACAGTCTTTTTTTTGAGACAGAGCCTCAAGCTATCCCCTTGGGTAGAGTGCTATGGCATCACAGCTCACAGCAACCTCCAACTCCTAGGCTCAAGCAAGTCTCCTGCCTCAGCCTCCAAAGTAGCTGGGACCACAGGCACCCGCTACAGTGCCCGGCTATTTTTTAGTTGAAGCCATCATTGTTGTTTTTAGCGGGCCCGGGCTGGATTCGAACCCACCACTTTAGGTATATGTGGCTGGCGCCTTAGCCACTTGAGCCATAGGCGCCGAACCACAGTCATTTTATAGCAGAAAACTACAACCACCACTAAGGCTAATGCTTATTTGGCACTAACATGTGCTGGATACTGTCCCAAGAGCTTTTATGTATTAACTCATTTAATTACTACCTACCTGGCTTCACATTATATACTCCACTGTTAAGGGGAGAAAATGACCTTGACAAAAGTCCATGCCCATAGAGAACTCAGAGTGTAAAGACAAAGAAAGTTAAGAAACGAATACTCAAAAGCCCAGCAGGATAAGCTCTGACTCAGAGTGTGCCCTGGAAAGGCCTTGGAGAAGAAAGGAAGGGAGGAATTGTTCTACTATTGGCCTCACTGCTCTAGGAAGCCCCAAAAGTTGTGCTTGGTTCGGAAAAGGTGGGAAGAGAAGATACTAACAAAAAGGTACAAGGAGAACAGGCAGAGAAAGAAGAAAGAATGGAAGGCTGAGAACAAACGGCATAAGGAAGGTAAAGATGGGCCAGAGCCATGGAGAAAGAGAACAGACAGCTACTCACCATGGCACTCAGGAACCCCCTCTCCAAGGCATTGAGAGTGGGCACGGCCATACCCCCAGCAGCTCCCCATTCGTCATTGAAGACCTCTTCCTCCTCCCCTTCATCATAGAGATACTTACTGGCCACCATCTGCACAGGAATCAGAAGTGGTGTCAAGAGAGCTTCCACCTAGCTCCTGGCTCACTAGGGAGATGAAGGGGAGGGGTCATCTCACCATGGAGATCAGGAACAAGTCAGAGGATGACACATGCTGCAGGTAGTCTGGGTTTCGGTGCCGGAGCCGCTCAATGTACACCAGAGCCAGCATCATAGCACAGGGGGAGATGCATGCCTCCCTGGATGGTGGAAAGAACCAATAATTAAGGACTCTTTGGCTCTTACAATTCATGCTCATTTCTATCTTTACATTTTCTATTTAGAAATAACCATTCCCCTTTCTCTAGGACCCAAACGCTCTCATCCTACTCTCCTTAATGTCTCCCAGCTCACCGGGACACATGAGCTACATATTTCTTCTGGAGTCGGCGAATAGGGCTGGGGGCTGCCTTCTGGAGCAGTTCCACAGCAATGTCTGCACAGGACAGAAAGAAGGCAGAGTGATTACAAGGCTCCACTCATCAGTCCTCACTGCTATCAACAGTCCTCCCCTTCTATATTTTCTGAGGCCTTGAAGAAAGGACCATGGTAACAAAATAGAGATCAAATTCTCCCACACTGAGACAAAAAGCCCATTCCAAATCAGAATTTCAGCTCATACTAGCAAAAGGCTTATTTCCCTGTCACTTAAAATTAATCCCAATTTGTCGTTTACCATTGTTCATCCTGAGAAATATATATGCCTTGTTTACTTGGGGAATATGTAATCGAAATCTTTGGAAAATTTAAAGTTTCACACATGTGGGCGGCACCCATAGCTCAGTGGGTAGGGCACTGGCCACACACACCCAGGCTGGCTGGTTAGAACCCAGCCAGGCCAGCTAAAACAATGACAACTGCAACAAAAAAATAGCCAGGTGTTGTGGCGGGCACCTGTATGTAGTACCAGCTACTTGGGAGGTGGAGGCAAGAGAACCACTTGAGCCCAAGGGTTTGAAGTTGCTGAAAGCTGTGACGCCATGGCACTCTACCCAGGGAGACAGCTTGAGATTCTGTCTCAAAATAATTAAAAGTTTCAGATATGTAACTCAAGAGTGACAGGTTTGTGAGACAGCAATGTTTTATTACTCATCTGGGCTATAAGAATGAATGTAAACTGTGCTCTTGAATCAACTATCAACAAGCTAACTACGAAAAACAGTGCCACCCGTGGGGTAAACCTCCAGTCATTTGCTGTCTACTGACACCCAGTTTTCATGCTTCTGGCTTGCCCAGGCACACAACACTGCCTGACCTGCCACTGGGCTGGAGAGCTCCTCCAGGCTACAGTCAGCTTCCCAGTCCCAGCCATAGTAGAGTCTCCTGCGGATTCGGGCACTTAGCTTCTGGTGTCCTGGGAGGAACTGAAACAAGGCAGCAGGGCGGTGGAGGGTGAAGGGTAGAAAGGGTATGGAGATCCTGGCTCCTGGCTGGAAAGAGGTGTTCGAGAGGCAGGCCCGGTTCACCTAGCCCAGCTCTCTGGATTGTCTGCCAATGGTAGCCTGGTCCTTAAAGGAGAGAAATAGCCCCATCCCACCGAGATGGTCCCAGGAAAGGTTCTCCCAGGAAGGTCCAGGTCTGGCCACCTCTAACCCCGTTCCTATACCCGGCGGCTCTCCCTCAGGGCCTAAGAAACCGGGGCCTCGAGTAGGCACTGCTCAAGCGGCTGCCGCCCAGACCTGGGCACGGCAGTCAGAGGAGCCCGCAGCGCGGCCCCACTCGGGTCGGGAAGGGAGTGCCCGGGGTTCCCCGGCTCCGAGCGCCGGGAGGCTGAGGAGGGGGCGGGCCGCGCGCTCACCGTGAAGTCCTGGAAACCGGTGAGGGAGAAGGTGACTTCTTCGTCCAGTAGGAGTCCGGCCACGTCCATAGCGCCGCCAGCTGCCGCCCTGCGAAGGTGAAGGAAAGGGAACGAGCTGTAAGTGGGCCTCAAAGCCGTCCTCGCCCGCCTGTCCACCTGCCCGCCGGCCTCCCCGCAGCGGGCCGCCGCCCTCGCCCGCGCAACCCCCTCCCCTCGCGCTGGCGGCGACAGGCGGGGCCCCGGCAGGCGGGGGCTTCTTCCTGTTCCGCCCTGGGCGCGGCGCGGGGCAAGAGGCCTGAGACGTCGGACCTTGGTGTGGCGCTCAGCTCACCTCGCGGAATAGAGAGGAGCCAGCCTGCCAGGCTCGAGTTCTGCCCGCGCTGCGTCTGCCCAGCGTTTACAAGCTGCGGAGGTATAAGCCGGCGAGTCTGCGCCTGGCACTTCCTGCCGCCCGCTCGGCCCAGCCTCCGGCCCCTGCCGCCGGGAAACAACCGGACCCGAACTCTTGGTCTCACAGAATTGAGTCCCAGGCGCCCATGTCTGAAAAATGGGGACAACTCTAGGGGACCACGCCGCACTAAGGATAAATAAGCCAGGCACGCCTCTCTTGTAGCGATGTAGGTGTTAATGTGAATAAAATGAGATTAAGAACGAGTTGATCCCAATTGTTTTTTAAAAGGCAAAACAAACGCCCACTTAAGAGATACACAAGAAAGGCGGCGCCTGTAGCTCAGCGAGTAGGGCGCCGGCCTTATACACCTAGGTTTGCGGGTTAGAACCCGACCCGGGCCACCTAAAACAATGACAACTGCAACAAAATATAGCCAGGTGTTGTGGCGGGCGCCTGTTGTCCCAGCTACTTGGGAGGTTGAGGCAAGACAATCGCTTAAGTCCAAGAGTTGGAGATTGCTGTGAGCTGTGGTGCCACAGCCCTCTATCCAGGGTGACAAAGTGAAACTGTCTCCAAAAAAAAAAAAAAAAAAATACACCAAGAAACTGTGGACAAGATGGAAGAGAAATTTATTTTCTGCCATACTTTTAAGTACGGTTTGAAATTTTAAACCCAATTACATATTTTGTAGGGCTCTGAGGTGACAGTAAATACAAAGGGTCAAAAAGTGTCAACATGCCCCCCCCAAATAAAAAGCATCTAAACAAGGTTTTATTTTTAAGCTCACCTCCCGCCTCCCATCTCACGTTTGAGGAGGGGGGAGGAAAGAACTCTTGACACGCGAAGGCTGGAAAGTTTATGGAAAGAGATGAGTGGGTGAAGCTGTTTTCGAGTCTGTCGAGTCACGCGCTGGTGTTTGTTTACTCGTTGAGGGGAGGGAAGTAGGAGGACGAGTACGTTGAGTAATGGGATGGCCACCGCCCTTCCCAAGAGAAGCAGATCCAACTCGGGATACGCAGCGTCTGGAAGCCCACTTCCTGCCCCTCCAGTCGGGGATTACTCCGGGGACACGGGGACACCTGGCCAGCGCCAGACTTCACAGCCACCCTGTCCACTCTTCCAAAAGAAAACGGGTCCGTCTGCTGGGATCTGGACCCTGACCCGGGATCACGACTACAACAGCCAGAACACTTTAATAGCGTAGGCGCTGGGGCATTAGCAGCCGCCTGTGCGCACGCGCGGACCGCCCTAATCCAGGCAGTTAGGTCGCGTCACGCGACGCGCCCGTCGCCCGCCGTCACGTGACGCTGGTCTGCAGCCTCTGCTTTCCTCTGCTTGCGCCCCCTTCCGCCTGACGCGCCCCCGGCGGCGGCCGCGCAGCCCTGGCTCCTCGCGGGCTCGGGCGGCGGCTGCGGCGGGGCTATGGCGAGCGGCGGTGGGGGTGGTAACACCGGCGCGGCTGGGGGCCCGGGAATGGGACTGAGCATGGGCCTGGGCCTGGGTTTGGGCCTAGGCATGGGTGAGGCCACCGGCGAGGCGGAGGAGGAGGCGGCCACGGCTGAGGCGGTGGGACATCTGGCCACCACGCTGTGGCTGCGGCTCCGCGGATGGGAGGCGGTGCTGGCGGCGGCGCAGCGGCTGCTAGTATGGGAGAAGCCGCTGCACAGCCTGGTCACCGCGGCGGCTCTCAACGGCCTCTTCTGGTAACGGCCGCTGAGGAGGGGGGCGGGGCCGGGCTGAGCGGGGGCGGAAGGGGCCGGGAGTACCATTCCCCCTTCTGGGCTGTCACTTGGCCTGTAGGGATGATCCAGCTCCCAGTTTCTGAAGGCTGGTGCCTGCCTAGATTGTCCCAGTCCTCTGTCTCTGGGTTGGGAGTTAGGCCTAGAGGTGCTATTCCCTCATCAGTGGGCGCTTTTCTGCCCTGTGAAATGGATGTAGGAGTCTCTCACCCACACACCGCTGAGGTGTCTGTTTCTCCTTAAGGTTGCTGTCTTCGTCGTCCCTCCGGCCCATCTTCCTACTCAGCGTCTCATTTTTGGCCTATTTTCTGCTGGATCTCTGGCAGCCTCGCATTTTCCCTGATGTTTCAGGTTAGTGTTTATAAGTTCCTTCAATTATCACCCATTAGGTGCGTGCTTGGTGCCTGATCCCGCTGGATGGAGTTGAATGATGAGGGAATGTCCAGCAGGCCACCTGCCTCCTAGGCACACCTCCGCCCCTGCTCCCATTTTAGGAAATTATCAAAAACGAGAAATTCCCCTTTTCCAAAATTAATATTATGGTTGGTATATTGGTTAAGACTGTGGTGTCTGCACCAGATTGACTGGATTCCATGCCCTGCTCTGCCACTTACCCATGTGTATGACCTTGTTAAAATCAATCTGTTTGCCTCAGTCTCTTTATAAAACAGGGGTGATAGAACTTACTCCATAGAGGCCAGGCGCAGTGGCTAGCACCTGTAATCCCAGCACTCTGGGAGGCTGGGGCAGGTGGATTGCCAGATCTCACAAATTTGAAACTAACCTAAGCCAGAGTGAGACCCCATCTCTAAAAATAGCTGGGCATTATGGAGAGCGGCTGTAGTCCCAGCTACTTGGGAGACTGAGGCAAGAGAATCGCTTAAGCCCAAGAGTTTGAGGTTGCTGTAAGCTGTGATGCCACATCATTCTACCTAGGGGGACAAAGTGAGACTATCTCAAAAAAGGGGGGGGGACTTATTCCATAGAAAGGTGAAAATTAAATGAGTTAACACACGTTATATGCTTATGGTAGCACTTCACACAATGAGAGTTATATAAATATGAAGTCCTCATTTTCCTTGTTATCTGTGTATTTACTTAATAGCTATTTTGGAGCAACTAGAGGCCAAGCGATGTGTGAGGTGCTTAGCATATAAATATGATAAGATGTGTTCCTATTTTTGAAAAGGGTGAAGTCTAAAGAAGGAGACAGAGACACAAAAAGCAATAACATGTAGTACATCCTGCATTTGTCATCTGAAGAAAGTACTCTGGGACTGCAGAGAAGGGACATCTACTTGCACCTTGGAGTGTGTTTCCTTAGGCCCCCTACTGCTCAATAATCTGTCCCCCTTCTCTCTCTATAGCATCATCCCCAGAGGAGCCACACTCTGACAGGTGAGTACAGGCTACCTCTTGAAGACAAATTCTGTCTTGTTTGCTGGTGTTGATGTCACCATGGAACAGGGCAATGCTGCAGTTTCTGCAGGCATGGGCCCCAGCATGGTGAATAGACTGGTAATAAGCCATAGAGTTGTCTTGGTCATAGACTCCAGTGTATGTGTTTATGTGCCTGCTCCTTTTGGAGGAGAGGGTTGGGTCCACCAGTCTTTCCTTCTAAGACCAGGACAGCCTCATTTGGGGAAGTGGGGTTGTCTACCTTTTTAGACTGAAGATCTCATTGCCATTCTCAGAGGGATTTGAGTGTCTAGAAAGCTGGTGTCTGAGGCCTCCAGGGGTCATGTCATGTCTCCCCAGTGAGGGTGCGGGGTCAGGAGCCCGGCCGCACCTGCTGAGTGTGCCCGAGTTGTGCAGATACCTGGCTGAGAGCTGGCTCACCTTCCAGATTCACCTGCAGGAGCTGCTGCAATACAAGAGGCAGAATCCAGCTCAGGTAACCTCCTCTATGTAATACAACTGTTCCCTGCATTGGGGGGAAGGAAGGGGTTGATAGGGGAGGAGTGATGTATGAACTCCCTTATTGGAGTCCCTGAAGTAACTCAGGAGGCCTGGGTTCTTCCTTGAGGGATCATTCACAGTTACTCCCTGGTATAGGAGATAGGCTTGCTTAAGAAAATAAGGTTCTGGCTCGGCGCCTGTGGCGCCAGCCACATACACCTAAGGTGGTGGGTTCGAATCCAGCCCGGGCCGCCAAAACAACAGTGACGGCTGCAACCAAAAAATAGCCAGGCGTTGTGGCGGGCGCCTGTGGTCCCAGCTACTTGGGAGGCTGAGGCAGGAGACTCGCTTGAGCCCAGGAGTTGGAGGTTGCTGTGAGCTGTGATGCCATGGCACTCTACCAAGGGGGATAGCTTAAGGCTCTGTCTCAAAAAGAAAGAGAATAAGGTTCTGAGGGCCTGACACTTTGTCCCTTTGTCCTGCTGAGGCAGATTGGGTGAATTATAGATGTTTGGCAGTGTCTTTTACAAACTTCTTGAATTGATGGCCTTGAACATCTTGACTAAATTGGATCACACAATTCCTTGAAGGCATGTCTTGTCTTTCCACTAGCTGAACAATAGTTTCTTACCCAGACCTTGTGTTGTTCTGTGCAGTTCTGTGCTCGAGTTTGCTCTGGCTGTGCCGTGCTGGCTGTGCTGGGACACTATGTTCCAGGAATTATGATTTCCTACATTGTCTGTGAGTAGGGTCTAGCCCAACCCTTCTCAAAGCCCACTGGTGTGACTTGGAGTGGGGGGAATATGCTCTGTCAGCCCAGTTACTGATTTGTGGATGTCTCCAGGGATATTGTAGTATTGGTAACAGAGGAAGAGTCATCTGGGGAGGAAGGCCTATGGGTGTGGAGAGAAGAGGTTAGCACATCCTTGGAAAAGGACTTTATCTTCCTTCAGCCCTTTCTATTTAAGGACTAGGAGAATGAGGGCCCTTAGGAAGTTTGTATAGCTCTGAGTGGACTTTCTAACTCATAGTGCTCAGTATCCTGCTGTGGCCCCTGGTGGTTTATCATGAGCTAATCCAGAGGATGTACACTCGCCTGGAGCCCCTGCTTATGCAGCTGGACTACAGCATGAAGGCAGAAGCTGATGCTCTGCATCACAAACATGACAAGAGAAGTAAGGGGCTCATTAACCCAAAGGGGTGAAAGTAGGTGGGAGGGCCTTGGCTTTTGGCTTATGAGATGCCCTGAAATTGAGATCTCTAGGTCCTTGACTATGTTTGTCCCCAACCCTTTTCCATGCTTGGTCACTGCCCTACTGCTCTTAATTCTCTAGAGCGGCAAGGAAAGAACATACCTCCAGGAGGTGATGAGCCACTGGCAGAGACAGAAAGTGAAAGCGAGGCAGAGCTGGCTGGCTTCTCCCCGGTGGTGAGGTTTGGGGAGATGGGTGTGGCGAACAGAAGGCTGGGGGAGAATCTGTCTACTTTACAGTTGCCACTTCTCAAGAGGGTATGAGCCAGAGGTTTTGGGGGAGAGCATGCCCCTGAAAAATTGGTTCTTTTTTCACCCAGTATGTTCATCCTGTCTCTCCAGGTGGATGTGAAGAAAACTGCATTGGCATTGGCCATTACAGACTCAGA